TTAATACTTCTAATACTATAATAATGTAAACTAAATATTATAACATTTTATTTACAATATATTTTATTATAATTATATATAAACTAATGTTATAATTGGTCAAACTAGTGTCGACCAAAAATACTTAACATGGCGTTTTAAAAATATTTTAAGGGAAAAATACAACACCATGGTATTTTTTACTAAAACACAACACCATGGTATTTTTTACAAAAACACAACAAGAAAAACACCATGGTATCCAAATGAAGCCTAAGATAATAACTTATGTTTCAGGAGGTTCCTTCTGAGTGTTTTGAGATTTAGAAACATTTACATCTATAGTAGCTTGGATATGGATCTCCGCACACCTAATATTACAGTTATACTCCACCATACACTTCAAATCATCTTCATTCTCAATCTCAAAACTAAGATTAGGGTTCCTTTCAGATTTATACACCATTGATAATGTGTCATATGGAACCTTCAACCTCTCAACCACATCAAACTTCAATTCAAAAAAAAGGTTGAAGACATTACCATTGAATACACCGCTTTCTCACCCAAGTACACCGTGTAAATTAGAGGTTTCTCTGCCATAAATATAGGGGATTTAAGAGGAGTAATGAAGGGAATGTTAGGACAAGAGGGGGTTTAGAGAGCATAAACTCTAAGTTCATAAATGTGGTATTTCCACCATAAATGAACTCTATTCACACAAGAATGGGTTAAGAGGAGATATAATGGAGGGAAATCTTCAATCTTTTCCCCCAAAATTGCCATCAAGTCGCCTTACTTGCGACCGCGATCGATCTCCAGCTCCGGATATGGATTATTAAGGTTGGGGAGAGAGCGAAGTGTATTTTTGGGTGTGTGGGTCAAAATACGGGTACATGGTTGTTTATGGGTTCAATCATATTTTTTGGAATTTTTAAGGGCTTTAGCACATGGGCCAACCTACCTGGGGCTTGGCCACATGAGTGCACATGTTTTGGGCCCTTGAAACAATTTTTCCTCCTAATTTCTTATAGAAATTTTCATGAGTCCTATATTTATTCTCACTAACCCATTAAACTAAATCCAAATCAAGTCAACCCATCAACTTTCCTGGTCTCTTCTCTCCCCCATTTGTCTTCCTTAATAAGATTCTTCAACACACGACTCCCTCTCCCTCTATAAAAACCCATAACACACTCAAAAATATCTCCAAATAAAAATAAAAATAAAAATAAAAATAAAAATAAAAATATCAATGGCATCTCAACAGAAATCCAAGCGAATTATGGTGTTCTTCATGAGTCTTATATTTATTCTCACTAATCGCTCTTTTTTACTTCCTTCCTTGCTAGCTTATATTTCTCTAAGCTTTTCCTACTCCTACACTTTTGCCGCTCTTTATATAAAGTTTTCTTCTCTCTAATAATATTTTGCACACTCTCATTTCACCACCTAGCTATTCCACATAATATTGGTCTCATTATTTATATTCTATATATCTTCTTTGATTACATTATCTTTAAAATGCATTAAATTCTCTCCTTTTAAATTGCATCATTTAGTTTTTAGTCTATTGTTCATGTTAGTTTTTCTACTTTACTTCTTAATAGATATGTCTATAACTATCAACCTATGTTATGTAGTTAAACTCCCTTCCGGTATAATTTTATAATATTTACATGTTAAACTATCTGTCCTTCTAGTAAGAAACAAGTCTATTTGAGTATTATTAAATCCACTTTTATAGGTTATTAAGGG